GGTCTTTTACGCTAACTGCTGGTCCCGCAAGTGTTTTTTTTTTTTTTTTTTTGAGAGGTTTTCGCTATAGGGCACGTGCGCTCGCCAGACAGACAGAGAGAGACAGAGAGACAGAAAGCGAGAAATCACCCCCAGGGGGGATGGTCATGACGCAATCCCTTCTCCTCCATTCTCCTCTCGGGATCTTGGGCATGCACACACACGCGCCCAGCGTGAGTTTTAAGCCACCGGGTCCGGGACATGAACCGCGGTCGACTACGTGGGAGTCCAGCGACATAGCCATTAAGCTAACTGCTGGTTCCCCCACAAGTCTTTTTAATTGCCAGAGGGTTCACATACTTGCCAGACTAAGGGAAGAAAAAAATCTCAACGGGGCTTGGTCACACTGTAATCCCTTCTCCACGTCTCCATTCTGCTGGAATTTGGAGCATGCTTGCATGCTTCTGCTGTGTTTTCAAACTGCTGGGGTTGGGATTTGAACCATGGCCAACTAAGTGGGATCTAGTACCGCAAACTACTAGGCTACAGGGGTGACTCAAATCTCTTTAAGAGACTGCTTTCAATTCATTTCCACTTCATATACACAGAAGTGGAACAGTTGGAGCAGATGGCCACGTGGAATCCAGCTCCCTAGTCACTACCACGATGAAACCAGCTCTGATTTTTTTTTTTTTCAAGTTTATTTAGACAGAGAGAGAGAGATTGAGACACTCATATACAAGAGAACTCCTGACAGGGTCTTGTCACACTGTAATCATGCCGAGATTTTCAGTAATATCCAGTTGTAGGATCAAGGGAGTGTTCAGGTCAACCACAAATGAAACCTAGGGCCTCTCCGTACAGCTCTAGTATTATGCAGTAGTATCCCACTGCCTGTGCTACTGGCGCTGGGCCTAGGGCAGGCATTCTTGAAATGTGGTCCAGACTACCAGAGGGCTCCAAGACCCACATCAAGGGGTTAATGGGAGTAAAGTGCTTTTTCTAATAATACTACAACACTATTTGCCTGTGTTGATATTTGCACTGATGATGAAAAGCAATTATGAGCAGAATCACTTATGTCATAACATGGAGGAAGGCAGTAGTACCAAAATAAACACAACTTTGAGGTAAAACATCTTAAGAAAGTAGGAATTGGATTTTTTTTTTTTTTTTTTTTTTGCTAGATGATCCGTGCATAAGCCAGAGAAAGGAGGGAGAGGAGACAGGACTCCCCATGAGGAACAGTCACACCACAATCCCTTCTCCTCCATCTCTCCTTCGAGGTTTTTGAGCAAGCACATACATGTGCCTGGTATGTTTCTCAGGCTGCTGGGCCAAAGACTCAAACTGTGTGGTTGGCCACAGTTTGGGATCCAGCTGCCTTAACCAACAGGCCATGGAACTGATGAAGAAGGGAACTCTTCCAACACAACAAAGGGTATTTTGGAAAAGTTCACAACTATACTCAATGGTGAAACACTAAAAACTTTTCCTCTTAGCAATAAAAATCAGGATTGGCTTGGTGGCACAATAACAATACACAGCTCAAGTGAAGCAGGATCTGTATGGAACATTGTGCGGTCTGGTTCCCTGGTCAATCTGTACACTTTGAGCACGCCAATATGCATGTGTGCTCGCGCATGATCCTGGCTGGTTGGGAAGGAAAGCTGGGGAGGGTGAAATGAGTTTGAATCTTTTTGAAAGTGCTTGTTTTTAACTCTTATGAAATAAGTAAAAATCATAAACAAGCACAGATATCAGCTCTTTTTTTTGTAATATCTTTATTCAAATTTAGTATTAGTATTTTTTCATTTTTTTTTTTTGGAGATGTTTTCGCTATTGGGCGTGTGCACTCGCCAGACAGAGAGAGAGAGATAGAGAGACAGAAAGCGAGAAATTACCGCCCCAGGGGGGATGGCCACGCCACAATCCCTTCTCCATTCTCCTCTCAGGATCTTGGGCATGCACGCACACGTGCCCGGCATGAATTTTAAGTCACTGGGTCTGGGATGTGAACCGTGGTCGACTACATGGGAGTCCAGCAACATAGCCATTACGCTAACTGCTGGTCCCAAGATATCAGCTCTTGCTATCTCTATTTAACAATGTACTAGAGTGGGCCTGGCAGGTGGTGTGGTGGTTAAAGGTGCTGGACTCCCACATGGCTGAACACGGTTCAAGTCCCAGACCTGATGGCTTGCTTTCTCACCCCTTCCCTTCTTCCCTCTCTCTCTTTCCATCTCTGGCCAAATTAAAATAATAATAATAAATAAAATAAAAATTATTAAAAAAAGAATTATTTAATTTTATTCATTATCATTATTATCTTTTAACTTGACTAGAGAGAGACCAAGAGAGAACAGAGAAAGTGAAAAAGCAATCTGCCAGGTCTGGGACTCAAATCATGAATGGGCATGTGGGAGTCTCGTGCCTCAACCACTTTGGCTAGACTCTCACATGGCTGACCATAGTTGGAATCACAGACCAGGCAGCCTGCTTTATCACTTTCCTTCTCTCTGTCTGTCTGTCTGGTCAACTTAAAAAATAAATAAATAAAATAATGACAATGAATAAAATTAAATAAAAATAATTCTAAAAAAAATTTGCTGGAGGAAATAGACCCATTAGAGGGAGAAAAAATGAAATAAAAATAAAGAGAATCCAAATCAGAAAGGATATGTTAAAATTTTATTTAGAAAAAAAAAAATTTTATTTGGAAATGGCATTATCTTATATATAAAAAGTATTAAGGAATGAGTTCAACAAGGTTATAAGACACAGTATCAATATATAAAAATCAACTACATTGCTGTAGTTATCTAATGTGCTCATTAGATAAAATTATTGTGCTCTGGAGACAGAATTAAGAAAATTTTACTCATAGTAACATCAGGAAGAATCAAAGACTGGCCCTGTGGCTTAGTGATTAAGGGAGCTAGATCCCATATGGCTGATTGGGGTGTGCATTCTTATCTGGGCAGCTTGAAAATCAAGCCAGGTGTGTGTGTGTACATGTCCCAAATCCTAACAGGATTCTTCCTCTGTCTCTCTCTGGAAAGGGCACACACACACTCTGGGAATTAAAAAAAGAGAGAGATTTGCAGGGTAATGCCACTTTTCTAAAATGGTTTTGGTTTAGGAAAATATGCTTTTTTCATTAAAAAATGTTACTAGGGTGGGAGCAATGGCAATATGCTGCTTCAGAGAAGCCAGATCCTACATGGTGACCGTGGTCCGAATTCTTGGCCGTGTTAGCCAGAAACATGCCAGGTACAGTGTGTACAAGTCCCAGGACGTGACAGGCTGGAGGATGAGAGGAAGGAGATTGTGGGGAGCAAATCCTGCACAGGGTACTCATCTCTCTCTGCCTCTCATAATCACGAATAAAGAAAAAAATTCCAAAAATGTTAGCATGAAATTGTTCATTACAGTTACTTTAACAATTGACTAAATATCTTAAAATGTAATCAATTTTGGGGGCCAGCAGGTGGCATAATGGTTATGTTGTTGGACTCCCATCTAATCAACTGTGGTTCAAGTCCTGAACCCAGTGGCTTAAAACTCAGGCTGGACGTGTGTGCATGCATGCTTAAATCCCAAGACATAAATGGAGCAGAAGGGATTGTGACGTGGCCAACCTCCCTGGGGGGTGATTTTTTGCTTTCTGCCTCTCTGGTTTACAAATGTGCTCTCAAAAGAAAAACAAAACAAAACAAACAAACAAAGATCCTACGGACACGACAGCATTTGGGAGCTTGGGGTAGAGGAACAGGCTGAGAGGGAAAGCCTGAAGCTGTAGAGACTCCAGTAGGTGAGGAGGGCATCAGGTGGGTGAGGAGGGCATCCAGGCAGGGCAACAACCTAGCATGGAATCCAGAGGAGCAAAGGAAGTAAACCGTACCTCACTAGAATGTCATTAGGGTAATATATACTCACTATGTGAGCCCAGAGCAAGCACAGTCCAAGTGTTGTCTGTTATTATTATTAAAGTTCGTTCATTTACTTCCTCCATAAGTAGATAAAGAGGAGAGCGAGAGAAAAAAGCACAGAACCTCTCCATAAGAGTCGATTTTGCAGAGCAGTGTGTCACCTCTGTGCCACCATCTGGCTTCATTTGCTACTACTAACATACATATAGTCTGTCACAGTGCCAAATGTACAAAGCCTAACACACACATGTTTATTATACGACCATACAATTATATTACTTCCTACATATCTCATCTACATACACTAGCTAACGTCTCCATGACAGCAAAACTATTTCTAAAAATTTACTCCATTAACACTTAAGACTTATATCTCTTTCACTAATTCATTTTTTCATCCAGACTTCCAAATTTGTTTTTTTTTTCTGTACAGTTCTGGCTAAGTTTTCCTTTAGTATTTCCTTAAATTTTCCACTTACTTTCATCCTGACCCTCTCCATTAAGATCTTAAAATTTGGTGGGACCAGCAGTTGGCGTTAATGCCTATTTCACTGGACTCCTATGTAGTTGACATGGTTCGAGTCCCGGAACCGGTGGCTTAAACTCATGCCAGGTGCACGTGCGTGTGTGCCCAAGATCCCGAGAGGAGAATGGAGAAGGGACTGTGGCGTGGCTATCCCCTCTGGGGGGTGATTTCGCCCTTTCTGTCTGTCTGTCTTCCTGGAGAGTGCATGCACCCTATAGCAAAAACTCTCAAAAAAACAAAACAAAACAACAACAATCTTATAATTCAGGAACAGCAGATGGCACAGCAGTTACAGTGCTACTCTCACATGGCTGACCGTGCTTCGAGTCCCAGACCCAGTGGTTTAAAATTCACGCTGGGCACGTGTGTGTGTGTGTGCCTAAGATCCCAGGAGAACAGAAATGGGACTGCAACCTTGGCACCCCGCTGGGGAGTGATTTCTCACTTTCTGTCTTTGTCCCTCTGGTGTACCATATACATTTTTGTCCTAGAACAAAAATCTCCCCCCCTTAAAAACAAAAAGATCTTAAAAACAAAAAGATAAGGAGCTAGACTCAGTGTAAAACTCATTACCTCAGCAAACTTAACACATAAAACATCCAGGTTGGTGAATGAAGGGTTTAACAGAGTAAGTCCACATCTATTTCCCACATGAATACACACAGATGAACTTGAAACATGTCTTATTTGTTGCATACCTGTCCGCGTTTTGGTGCATGCATGTATACCCCTAGGTAGAGTCCCATGGAAGGGGAATAAGCAAGTCGTAACTTGTGTCCAGTCCCAGCAGTGAGTCGAAGGTCTTTATTCACAGGGACATACTCCAGTATGTCGGCTACCATCAGGCACATCTGGTCCTGCCCAAGACAAGAGTTAACAGGTTGCATTAAAGAAATCTGCAGCCAGCAGGTGGTGTGGTGGTTAAGGAGCTAGACTCCCATACACGGTTGATTGTGGGATGAGTCCTGGACCAGATGCTGAGTGTGTGTGTGCACGGGTCCAAAATTCTGAGAGGAGAACACAGGAGAAGGGATTGTGGTATGCCCATTCCCCTGGGGTGATTTCTCATTCTGCCTCTCTGTCTCACTCTGGCAAACACAAATGCCCTATGGCACAAACCTTTAAAAAAAAGAAGAAGAAGAAGAAGAAGAAAGAAGGAGAAGAAGAAGAAGGAGAAGAAAGAAGAAGAAGAAGAAAGAAGAAGAAGAAAGAAGAAGAAGAAGAAAGAAGGAGAAGAAGAAGAAGGAGAAGAAAGAAGAAGAAGAAGAAAGAAGAAGAAGAAAGAAGAAGAAAAAGAAATCAGTCTTTTTCTAAAGTATACCTTCATTAAAAAAAAAAAAAAAATTGTTTCTCCTATGAGAGAGATGAGGGAAGAGACAATACCTGAACAGGATCTTGATGCCAAGATACATCCCTGGCCAAGCCCAGATCATGGGCACTGGCATGTGCGGGGAGGTCTCTGGATATGAACCTTTCGATGTGAGCCAGCCTCAGAGAGCAGTGTGTTTTATTCCTGTGCCACTGTCCAGTCCCTATGCAGTCCTTATTCCCTGCCCTTTCAAAGGATATACGTTCATTATATCTGGCACTCTAGTTATCTGATCAAAGACCCTAATAAGCTCTTGTTTTTAAAGGACTAAGATGAAAAAATCTGAGTTGGAGCCAGCAGGTGAGGTGGTGGGTAAGGCACTGTATTCCCATATAGCTGACTGTGGTCTGAATCTTGGACCTGGTGGCTTGAAAACCGTGCCAGGCACATGTGGGTGGGTGCCTAAAATCCTGAAAGAATGGAGAAGGGATTTTAGAGTGGCCACCTCTCCTGGGGGGTGATTTTTCATTTTCTCTCCGTCTCTCTCTAGCAAGAGCACATGCCCTGTGTCAAAAACCTAAAAAACTAAACAAAACAAAAACTTGAGTCTGCTTGATAAACAATCAGTGCTGTGTTTTTGGTGAGTCTAGAAAACTATCTTATGAACTTGCATTTTAAAAACATATGAGAAGCCGGCAGATGGGGTGGTGGCTAAAGGCGCTGGACTCCCACATGGCCGACTGCAGTTCGAGTCCCAGACCTGGTGGCTAGCTTTCTCACTTTCTCTCTGTCTCTGATCAAACCAGAAAATAACAAGTTAAATAATAAAAAATAATTCTTTAAAAAAGAAAAACAAAAAACATGTATTAGCCCAACTATGTGGCACTGGTGTTTGGAGGTGCTGCTATAAGAAGTCAGAAGAAACACAGGAAAGATCCAGGTTCATATCCTGGGTTTTTCTGAACATGCTGGGTGTGATCCTGGCTGGCTGCAGGGCTTTAGGACTGCAGTGTACAGTTCCTGTCTAGGGTGCTCTTCCCTCTCAGAAAAACTAAAAAAAAAAAGAAAAAAAGGCATTTGTTGCTAATAAATGAAGGATATATTTTATACTATTCTTTAAATGTTCCTGTATGATTCATAATTTTTGAAACAAAAGAACAAAAAGTGGGAAAATGTATGCAAAATAAAGTTAAATGAATCTGAATCTGGAAAAAGACTCATAATTTCCAAATCAAATTGATCTTTTAAGAGAAAAAGCAAGATTTATTTCAATTCTCTCACAGTTCACAATCCTATTTTAACTTACAGTAACCATACATGCAGCACTTACCTTAAAAGACCACATTCGTAGTTTATGATCCTGACAAAGAGCAAAGATAAAGGCGTCGTGCTCGACACAATGAACAGCAAGGCTGAGTGGACGATCTGAAGGCCCTTGATCACCCCTAAAAACATAAGGCCAGGCTTTATACTTTTACTGTTGGAAATAAGTTGATCATTAGAGGGTAACAGTAGTTTGCATAACGGCTATGTTGCTGAACTCCCATGTAGTCGACCACAGTTTGCGTCCTGGACCTGGTGGCTTAAACTCACACTAGGCTCATGTGTGTGTGCCCAAGATCCCGAGAGGAGAATGGAGGAGAAGGGATTGCGACGTGGCCATCCCCCCTGGGGGGTGACTTCTCGCTTTCTATCTCTCTGTCTCTCTCTGCCTTTCTGGCAAGTACACGCGCCCTATAACAAAAACTTCTCCAAAAAAATAAATAAATAAAATAAAAATAAAAAGCTGATCATTAGAATATGCAAGTTAAGAGATACAATGGAATTATAAATGCAGCAGAAGGAGCAAGAATTGAAATGCTGCTTTATTTCTCTCTGATTTATAATCAACTACTATAATACATTTCATAAGGTTCTACATCACAATAGGATGTGGTCTATCTTTTAGTATTGTTTTATTCTAACCATCAAAAATTTTCTTTTCTTTTTTTTTTTAAGGAGATTTTTGCTATAGGATGCATGTGTTTGTTGAAGAGAGACAGGAAAAAAAAAATCACCCGAGGAGGGATGGCCACACGGCAACCCTTTGTCCTCCATTCTCCTCATGGGGCAAAAAATCATCCCTGAGGAGGGATGGCCACATGGCAACCCTTTGTCCTCCATTCTCCTCATGGGATTTTGGACACTTATGCACATGAGCCTGGTGTGAGTTTTTAAGCTGCCAGGTCTGGGACTTGAACTGTGGTCAACTACATGGGAGTCTAGTGATGTAACCATTATGCCATGTGCTGATCTCCATCAAAAACTTTCTACTTCTAATAATTTTACACAAAATTGAAGTGAAGCACCAAACTGGATATTGTGAAAATATAAATAGCCAGTCTCTGCTGTCAGGGTGTTCAACTGTAAATGAGTAGACTGGGAGTGTGGTTTTCCTCAGGTGGAATGTGATGTCATGTAAACAACTCCTTTCCATTATGAGATCTGCCTTGGAGTCAGACTGGAAACACTAACAGGTGTTAACCAGTACAAAGATCAAATTCTTGAGCCCTTTGATTTACCTGCCAGACACCACTTACCTGATAGCTGTTGGCATCCAGCCTATAAGCAATCGCTGCATTACCGAACTCTGCTTCAGTTCCACAACTGACATCATCCCTGCAATGATAACCAAGACACCTCTTGATCATACCCAATGTCAAGAATGATGCAACCACAAACTAGGTCTTTGTAATGGGTGACAGGCTGCTATATCTCTGTACTAACAAAGTTTTAGGACATACCCTTCCTACATATGCCACACCCACAATATTTTGAGTCATTATTAGATTAACACAAAATGTATTTTTATACTTCTAAGGGAAATTTCTGCCATTTACAGATAGGAACTCTTATTGCCACTTAGTAGAATCACTTCATTCTTTTCAAAACTCTCACTGGGTATTTTTCATGTGTCAGGCACACTGAAGTGACACTGAATAAAGGACTAAGAGGTAAGGAAGCGAGCCATGTTGGCAGCTGGCTATCCCAGGCAAGCGCCCTGGGGTGGGTGTGTGCCTGGTATGCTGAAGGAACTGTAAGAAGGCACATGACAGGCACAGTGACCAGGAGGGGAAAGAAAGAAAAGATGAGGTTCAAGAGGCAGCAAGAGGGCATCGTGATCAACGTCAGTATGGTAGGTCTGTTCAGAGTAACAGGAAAAACAATCCTCATTGGGTGGCTTTGAGCAGTGCAGTGATAGGACCCCACTTATATTTCACGTGTACTAGTCCACCTGAGAAGTTTCTGAAGAGGGGTAAAGACAGATCTGGGGAGATATTTAGAAAGCAAATGCAACAATTCAGGCAAGAGACAGCAATAACTTGGAGAAAAAGATCAGCAAACTTCTTCATTCCAATTAATTCATTTTAATTACAATACCTCGATCTGAGGATAGACAACCAGTCCACTTCTCTATTCTACCACAGGACTTAGAACAGGCTTATATTTATCTATTTGCTTCCCTAACCCTAATAGGCTTTACAGTTTCTCATCCACTATATAACAGGAAAGCACTTGAGACTTAATAGGCAAGAAGTGATGAATGCCCCATTTGGAAGTAGTCCAGAAGCATTCTGTGCATTGGATGATGGGCTGAACTTCTAAGGTCTGTTTAAACGACAAAGTTCCTTGTTCAATGTTAAATCCATGCTCTGTCCCCATTCTTACCAGGTATGTCATAAGGAGGTAGTTTAAGAACAAAGATCCCCCCGGAAGCAGATGGCAGAGCAAACAGAGCCTCCCCATCACTGCTGAGCCAGGCTGCCGAGGCGGTAGAATTAGGAGTCAGTCCAGGTACTGCTGGAATCAACTGATAGTTGCAAGGATCCCGGAAATCAACTTTTCCAATGTCAGTGAATACTGACTGCATCTGACTTTCAATTACCAACTCCTGTGAGGGGAATTAAAAAGAAAAATCCCTTAAACCAAAACAATCTGAAAATTTTTAAAGAGAATTATTTATTTATTATTATTATTGTTAATGTTATTTTTCACATGAGTTTTGCCAGAGAAAGTCAGAGAGAGAGGGAGAGTGAGAAAGCAAGCTGCCAGGGCTGGGGCTCAAACCACGGCCAGCCATGTGGGAATTCCAACACCTTAACCACCATGCCACCTGCTGGCCCAACAATCTGAATTTTGCTCAGTTCCTCTCTATTAAAGGTTTTGGAGTTTAAAAAAATAAATAAAACTGTTGAGTTCCAGAAGAAAGCTAGCTACCTTTTATTATTATTATTATTATTTTTAATTTGCCACAGGCACATGTACTTGCCAGGGAGAGGGGGAGACAGAGTGAGGAAGCATGCCCCATGGGGTATGGTCACACTGCAATCCCTTTTCCACTTCTCCCTTTGTGATTTTGGACATGCACACACATGTACCAGGAGTGCTTATCCAGCTTCCAGGACTCGTTAAACCACACAGTTGACTCTGTGGGATCCAGCTGCCTTAACCATCACAAAAAAGGTATTCTTTTTAATAAAAACTATGTTTTCAATTTAAAATGTGTGTCTAATCATTTTAAATAGTAACTATTAAAATATGCTGGTAAGAGTTACCAAGGAATCCAAATCTTCTCAATTCCAGAGGATATTGCTCTAGTACTAAATTCCTGATAGATTAATTCAGGGAGGAGGGGAATAAGATAATGCACATAATCAACTTACACTCCTATACATCCGGGAAGGGTGTGGTAAAAGTACCCTGTGCACTGTTTGATTGGTTAATATCAAGAGTATCACATGATTCTGAGTCTCAGAGACATAAACCCCTCCAGGTAAGACGCTGCAATTCTGGAATTTTAGTCGAACAGCATTATTCAACAGATTTAGGTCCAGTGATTCTTCCACCAGCTCCAATGTATCTCCAGAGGTCTTCCTGTTAAAAAAGAAATATTTGTTTAAAATGTTTATGCTGTTCTTTCTCAATGACTGTTGATTTAAAATACGTGAGAATGATGTCCAAGTAAACAATCCAAATTTGAAAATTTTAGATAAACAATACACTTTTACATTCCAGATCACATTATATAGATTTATTAAATACAACACAACAAAATTAAATCTCATTATGATTTGGTTAAGTGGAAGCATTTCCAAACTTAATATAGTTCTTTTTTAAAGATTTAATTTTCTTTCTTTATTTATTCATTTGTCTTAATTTGACACTGAAAGAGAGAGAGAGAGAGGGAAAGTGAGAAAGCAAGCCACCAGGACTCGAACCATGGTTGGCCATGTGGGAGTGTCCAGCCCCTTAACCATCATGCCACCTGCTGGGCCCATTATATTTCTTTTTTTTTTTTATTTTAATTTTTTTGTTAAGGTTTTTGCCATAGGGTGCATGTGCTCCTAGCAAGGAGGGAGGGAGTAACATAGTGAGAAGGAAAGTGAGAGATGGCCCCCTGGGAGAGATGGCTGTGCCATAATTCTTTCCCTTCCTGGGATTTCAGGCACTTACACGTGTGTCTGGTTTGAGTTTCTAACTGCCAGGTCTGGACTCAAACTCCACTCGACCATGTGGGAGTCTAGCACCTTAATGCCTATGTCACTTGCTGGCCTTAACAGTCCATTTATTTAGAACAATATTCAATGCAATACAAGTCTAGCAGGTGGCATGGTGGTTCAGGTGCTGGATCCCACATGGACAGGTACAAAGTTAAGGTCCCAGACCCAGCGGCTTGGAAATCACGTCAGGTGCACATGTGTGTGTCCAAAATCCCAAGGAAAATGGAAGAGAAGGGACTGCAGAGTGGCCATCTCCCCTGAGGGGGTGACTTTTCACTTTCTCTCCTCGCTCTCTCTCAGGTGAATGCACATGCCCTATAGCAAAACTCAAAACAAAACAAAACAAAAAACTTTATTGTGATGAAAATGAACACTACATACCTCCATTACTTGGAGTGGACTATGGCTTCCACATACACTACAGCATCAAATAAAATTGACCTTAATGTGGGTACATCCCTCCCCCCCCTTTTTTTGGAGAGCTTTTTGCTATAGGGTGTGTGCACTCGCCAGACAGAGAGACAGAAAGCGAGAAATCACCCCCCCAGGCGGGATGGCCATGCCGCAATCCCTTCTCCATTCTCCTCTCAGGATCTTGGGCACGCACGCACATGCGCCTGGTGTGAGTTTTAAGCCACTGGGTCCGGGACAGGAACCGCGGTCGACTACGTGGGAGTCCAGCGGCATAGCCATTACGCTAACTGCTGGTTCCCCATCCCTCCCTTTTGAAAAAGAATTATTTTACTGAACTTTTTATTTCATTCATTCATTCATTTATTTAAATTTGACCAGACAGGGACAGAGAGAGAGAGAGAGAGACAGAGAGAGAGGAAGCAAATCACCGGGTTTGGAACTTGAATTGCAGCTGGTCATGTGGGAGTCTAGTGCCCTCGACCACCATGCCACCTGCCGCCCCATTACTTCTTAACCCACAATAACATGAACAAATTTTGTTTTCTGCCTTTATATTATGTGTGTATTTGAAGAGAGAGGCATTAATTCTCTCTCTCTTTTTTAAAGAGTTATTTTATTGGGGCCAGTGGGTGGCAATTGTTAAGGTGCTGGAATTCCCATATGGCCAACTGTGGTTTGAGTCCTGGACCTGGAGGCTTCCTTTCTCACGCTCCCTCTCTCTGGCAAAACTCATGTGAAAAATAAATAAATAAATAAATAAATAAATAAATAAATAAAATTTTTGTTTTTGGAGAGGTTTCTGCTATAGGGCACAGGTGCTCACCAGAAAGACAGAGACAGACAGAGAGACAGAAAGTGAGAAATAACCCCCATGGGGGATGGCCACGCTCTAATCCCTTCTCCATTCTCTTCTCAGGATCTTGGGCACGCATGCACATGCGCCCAGTGTGCGTTTAAGCCACCGAGTTTGGGATTTGAACTGCGGTTGACTACATGGGAGTCCAGCAATATAGATGGTACGCCAACTGCTGGACTCAATAAAAACAATTCTTAAAAACATTTGTTTTATTTAACTTTATTTCATTCATTCATTTAAATTTGAACAGAGAGGGAGAGAGTGGGGGTGGTAAGAAAGCAAGTTGCCAGTCTGGAACTCAAACTGCCCTCAGTCATGTGGAAGTCCAGCAGAGGGGCACTATTTCTAACTAAAGAAATACTTCTAAAAAATATAAAAATAACATATTGAACAAGGTTAATTTTTCTTTTTCTTTCTTTTTTTTGAGAGAGATTTTTGTTACAGGGTACATGCGCTCGCCAAAGAGAGAGAGCAAGACAGACAGAAAGCAAGAAATCACCCCCCTGGGGGGATGGCCATGCCACAATTCCTTCTTCTCCATCCTCTTCTTGGGATTTTGGGCATGAATGCACGTGTCTGGCGAGTTTTAAGCTGCCAGGTCCAGGACTTGAACCATGGTCAACTATCCAGTGATGTAGCCATTACGCTGTTGGTCCCAGAAGGTTAAATATTCTACTGATAACCAAGTACTGATTTGTATTATTCCCAAAAGAAGTTTCTTTTGATAGTGCCCTGTGAGGAGTGGAGAGGTGTCTGCCATGTGCACCATGCTATCCTTACACCTGGCAAAATGCCTGGGAAAGAGGGGAGAGAGTGGGGGTGGTAAGAAAGCAAGCTGCCAGGTCTGGAACTCAAACTGCCGTCAGTCATGTGGAAGTCCAGCAGAGGGGCACTATTTCTAACTAAAGAAATACTTCTAAAAAATATAAAAATAACATATTGAACAAGGTTAATTTTTCTTTTTCTTTCTTTTTTTTGAGAGAGATTTTTGTTACAGGGTACATGCACTCGCCAAAGGGAGAGAGCAAGACAGACAGAAAGCAAGAAATCACCCCCCTGGGGGGATGGCCATGCCACAATTCCTTCTTCTCCATCCTCTTCTTGGGATTTTGGGCATGAATGCACGTGTCTGGCGAGTTTTAAGCTGCCAGGTCCAGGACTTGAACCATGGTCAACTATGTGAGAGTCCAGTGATGTAACCATTACGCTGCCAGAAACAGAAGGTTAAATATTCTACTGATAACCAAGTACTGATTTGTATTATTCCCAAAAGAAGTTTCTTTTGATAGTGCCCTGTGAGGAGTGGAGAGGTGTCTGCCATGTGCACCATGCTATCCTTACACCTGGCAAAATGCCTGGGAAAGAGCTAACATTCTTTCTTTTTCAGAGTTTTTTGCTATAGGGCACATGCCAGAAAGACAGAGACAGAAAGCAAGAAATCATCTCCCAGTTGGGGATGGCCACACCACAGTCCCTTCTCCTCCCTTCTCCTCCTCTCGGGATCCCTGACCACACACACGAGCCTGGTATGAGTTTAAGTCACTGAGTCCAGGACTCGAATGTGATTGACTACATGGAGTCCAGTGATATAGCCATTACACCAACTGTTGGTCCCACGGAACTAACATTCTTTAACTGATTTTTAATAAAACACACAAAAACTTAAAACAAACAAACAAAAAAAGCTTTAATCAAATTCCAGCTCGGGACCAGCAGTTAGTGTAATGGCTTGTAGCTGGACTCCCATGCAGTTGACCATGGTTTGCATCCTGGACCCGGTGGCTTAAAACTCACGCCGGGCGCGTGTGCGTATGTGCCCAAGATCCCGAGAGAACAGAGGAGAAGGGATTGCGGCATGGCCATCTCCCTGGGGGGTGATTTCTCGCTTTCTATCTCTCTGTCTCTCTATCTGGCGAGCGCACGTGCCCTATATTTAAAACCTCTCAAAAAAAAAAAAAAATTCCAACTGCAGCATACAAGACAAAGCAATCTGTTTAAAGCCACTATGTCCCCTCCATTCCTTGTGCTGAGCTTTTACCAATCACAGAAACTGCCATGTTACTTTACTCTAAGGAAGAAACATTGGCCTTTCAAGTATTTGTCAACTGTGAAAACCACTGGCATAGATACATGGTAGGTCCCTTACTCAGCATGTATGGTGTCAAATCCTGCTCTT